CCCACAACTGGGACAAGATGGGGCCTCTCCATCTCCTGGGCAGCAAACCGGTCCCAGCACCTTCTCCAACAAGCCCTGGCTGACCCCAGTCCCGACCCGCAGCCCACCTGAGGACCACGAAGCAGGTCTTCCACTGCTCCTTGCCCAGGTAGGAGGTCCCTGCCTTGTAGTGCAGGATGCCATCCTTGGTGACCGTGTTGGAGGCGTAGCTGTTGTTGTTGGGTCCCAGTGCCTCATCCATGGGGTCCTCCCAGTGAACGAGGCCGTAGAAACGCACGACCACGTCGCAGGCCTGCGAGTCGGGTGGAGAAGTCAATGGGAGAAAGTCTCCTGTGAGCCTCCACCACGTAGTGATGGGCCACGATCTCCAAACCCACCTCACACTTGGACTCCTGGGCCACAAACTTGGCAAGCGCCAGTTTCTCCATGGTGGCATCCGTGAGGATACTGGGGTACGGGGGCTCCCGGCACCCTTTGATCATGGCTGACTTCAAGGAGACCAAGAAGAACCTGAGAAGGACACAGAACTCTTTGATGAGACCAGGGCAAAAAGCCCCTCATCATCCTCATGCCCCCCAAAGGGGCTTCTCTTCAATGTGGGCCTCTGGTCCTCTTGACCAAAGGGTCTTGAAATCAACCTACAGACCAAGGCCAATGGGAGTTGTGAAGTCTGAGCTCCAAGGAGGAGATAGGTGAGACTGGGAGATGGACACTCAACCCAACACAGATCCCAGTATGATCATTTGGGCCCTCACGAGGTCACCTCCCTGAGCTGACAACATCCAGAGACTCAGGGACGTGCCTTGAAACTCAAGACCTTGTCCCTTCTCATCCCAAGTGACACAAAGGACACGGAGCCCGTGCTGTCCCAAGCTCCAGGACTGTCAGCCCGAGGGACACAGCGGCTGCTCCGTGTCCAGGGCAGACACTTTGGGCTTATCCATGCTGAAGGCACTTCCAGCAGCCTGCAGGGTTTAGCTGGAGGCATCCCACCAGCCCACCCCCAGTCCCCACTCACTCGGTGAGCGCCACGTCCGCGGTGTCCAGCAGGAACTGCTTCCGCCGGTTGGTGCACACCAGGGTCACTGTCTGCTGGTCCAGCCCGACCTGTGCCACATGGGAGAGGTTAAGGAGCCATGTGGGGACCGAGGGGTGGTGGAGCTGGGCTGAAGATGGCTTCAGGACCCCCAGGAGAAGGGGAGTGGTTGCTCTGCTGCCCAGGCAAAGGCAGGAGCGAGCTGGGCACCCGCGGAGGTGGCACTTGAGAGGAGATCGCTTCTAACTCTGCCAGTCTCAAAGATTCACTGGCCAACATGCTCCCCAGGGACAGAGCCCCACAAAAGCACCACACCGTGATGCTCCTGACACCATCCCGTGGCCAGAGAGGTGAGAACTGACCCCCAAACTCACCTCCTGCTCCCCCCAGGGTGGCTGAGCCGACGCAGGCTGCACTCACCGAAATGTAGTCCAGCTCGTTATAGGAAACAGCCTCTTCCACCATGTAGGGCTTCTCTGCTGCCCCTGCACACAGAGAGCTGCCTGAGGGGGTGCAGGAGACCAGAGATGCCTGAGGGGGTGCAGGAGCCCAGC